ATGTTTGTCTCGTAAGCCGTCCCCGTTGCTTTAAATGCAATGGCAACAATTTTATTCAGTTATCCGTCTATATGCTCCTCTGTAATGTCAAAATCGAGTAAAGCTAATATAGCAAATAGATGAGAACATAGAATATGCTTTGATATATAATAAGTACAATAGAGCAAGCAACAAAATCACCGTGCAAAGCGGTAATTATCTCACAAACTAATTCTGGAAGCCAGCAGGTTGTGATTCCAGAACAAGCTACCGATAGTACAGAAGAACGTCTGTACCGAAGTTTGCTTTCTCCGAGTATCTATGAAAAGGATGTGAGGCCCACTACACATCATTCGAAACCAACCAACGTTACTTTTGGTTTCCTTCTTAACCAGATAGTTGAAATGGTAATACGTTCAAAACATGTTTCATAAAAGTACAGGTTACCATTCAGGATGAGAGGAATCAGGTACTCACCACAAGAAGTTGGCTTAACATCAACTGGATAGATCAGCGTTTAATTTGGAATCACACACAGTGGGAAGGTATCAAGACGATCTATGTGCCGCACTATCGCCTGTGGAAGCCTGACATCATCCTCGTTAACAAGTGAGTTCTTATTCAATATTCGTAGTATTACCCACTTTTCCTAATAACACTTGCATAATTTTCAAGCATCCTATTTTTAGTGCGCAGAGTTGCTTAGGAACGACACAAAATAACAAAAGGCGCTAGATTTTTTTTTTTGACGGTATAATTTGATTTTGGCTGTGCGATTATCTACAAATCCTTTTCCATTTCACAAAACTCTCTTGTCGACAACTTTCTTGCTATTAAATTGACTTATTTCTAGAGAACAGGGAAGTAATTCATCTAACCTCTTCTAGTCAATTCTGGAGCTGATTTGGCATCATGACACATATCAAGCTTAGTCGTCCATGGGGAGCCTTAGCCACATGTCTCACAATCAAGGCGCCTAGCGCAAAGACGAGACACGCTAGGCCTGTGCAGATATGTTCATCAGAAAACAGAATAGCTCCTTTACTCCAAAAGCCCTTAAAAACTGATCCTTCTGGGAAATTCCTTCCTGAAGTAGAGAAACTCTCGTTCGCATGCTACAGAAGTGAATTAGAAGCGGCTAGGCATGACAGTACGTGTCAATATATGTATATTCGTATTCTTTGGAAAAAATCTTGAATTTGAAAAGTAAGTCTGAGAGTGGAGTACACTTTCACGATAACTGAAGATATTGTGGTGCAGTCACAAATAATTTCCTAAATTAGGTGTAATGAAAACTGAGAAGAGGCATGACATGGGCGGGGAAAGGGCCCACTCTTTTTTATCCATCTGTATAAAATTTCGTATACTTTTATCTACTCTTGGAAAGCTTTTGGAAATAGTTTTTTCATTAATCAAAAAGAGTTATTCCCCTGCTATAACGTTCATGAGCTGTTTTGTTTGAAGAATTAAGAATTTCCGATCTCATCCAGAGGTTGGAAGCGATAGGCAAGGCAATGCCAGCGTGTCTATCTATTTTCAAAAGCCTTATCCATGTTTTTGAGTTGGATGTTTCTCATCATCTATAGTTCGCTCCCGCCGCGAGAATTTCATTCACTCAACAATGCCCTCAATCGTCACTAAGGTCAATATTATCAGACGAAAGGATGTAGAGAGCGCCCTCAAACCTCTTTAAAAAAGAACACATAAATCGCGTGTCCAAACAACTTAAGAGCGCTTGCTTGAATTTATCGAGTGCTTCAGGCTAAAAATTGGACTCTTCTCGAACTCATCATTGAGGTTAAGTTTGCTTGGTTACAACTTCTCTGCATTGATCATTGATGAGAAACACTGAGTTTGCAATAATTTGATTGCTGGTGCTCGTCCTGCCCCTATACGAAAGTTATGTTAAAAGTCTATCAAAAATCTCGCTCTAGAGGAAGATAATTTGGTGTTCCGCAAATGCTTGCTGCACAAACGGCCACAACCATCAAGCAATTTCGCAACAGCATGCAAATCGAATTCAGAGTTAGTTGACGCTCAATAAAGGTGCCAAAACCGACTTTAGGGAAGAACAACTAATCACTATTTTAAGGTGTATTTAAATTAGCTGCTCAGCTTGCTTTGCAGCTTTTGTGCCCCTAACTTATGTTCAGTTGCTCTGTCGAAGACTCTGGGCTCAAATTAAAAAGACTGTCTCGTTACTCACTAGATAAAGCGGAAACTGTACTGTCCCTAAGTCAAAATCAATCAATCGACAATTCAGAATGTTGGAAATTCGAGAATTTGTTTTATCTGGTAAGGTAAATTAAAATGTAGTTTACAAAAATCATTTTCTTCTGGCACAATCCTTACTGGAGGGCAACAAGTTGACGATCGATGGATGAACCTCACGGTTTTGCCTTGAAAGGGTTTGCATAATTTAGTATGCTGACTACGAACCATATGCATTTTGCATGGCAGGGACATTTTGCCAGATAGCCACAAAATTACTAACGCCTCTTTCCGGCAGATCGGTGATTTTGGGCATAGGTTAGTTTCTGTAATTTTATAGCAAGACCTTCATGTGTGTAGTGGATGTCACTTCTGGATAAGGATGTTGATTAATCCCACTAGACCACTTTTCAGCCAAATTTGTGAGTTTGACTCATCTGTTCTCCACGTGCCTGTCTTACAGTAAGTCTTTACTATGCCGAATGGATATGATAGCCTTAATCAGCATGTTATACAACACTCTTAGGTGAGAATTCTTTAATTCCACAATCCAGAAATTCCAAATTTGGTAAGTGTCGGAGCCTTTTTAACCTTTTGCAACTTTCACTTTGACTCTCAGATCAAAGAAAAACTGTGCCGGAATCTAGAGCAAAGTCCATTCTTTCAAATGATTTGAATCATATCACAATTGATTTTATGGGCTTTTATGTGCTTTAAACCGCATGAGCTTGGTCAACACTTATCTCATAACGTTAGTCTGATAGTGGAAGTGGATAACAG